GTTTAGCTGGAGCTCAGGAACAATTCCTGGCCCAGAGGGTGCTCAGGCATTGGAACAGGCTGCCCAGGGCAGGGCTGGATTCACCGTCCCTGCAAGTGTTCACAGCCCGTGGAGCCGAGGTCTCAGTGCCAAGGGTTAGTGGTGGCCTTGGCAGTGCTGGGGAGCAGTTGCACTGGATGCTCCTGCTCTTTCCCAGCCTGATGGGTCCTGTGGTTCCCTGACCCTGTGTGGGGCTGCCCGGAGCCCAGCCCAGTTTGCCGGTGCCAGTGGTGCCACAGGTACCTTCTGCACGATGTCACGGTGGCCGTGGCTTGCAGCCAGGTGCAGGGGGGTGTCGTCGCCGCGGTTCATGACGTTGATGCGTGCCCCGCGCATGATGAGCATGTCCACCACATTGGCACGGCCTTCCCGGCAGGCCCAGTGCAGCGGGCTGAAGCCATGGTCATCCCTGCAGGGGCAGCACAGACACAGCTCCTCCTGCGCTCTCCCATCCCCACTGGGGCCCCGGAGCTGGAGGCCAAATCCCATCTTCCCATGAATCACAGACACTGGCAGGAGCCAGAGTCTGGATCCCGCCTTCCCCGGCCCCTCGCTCCATCCTGGCCAAGTAAGGGAGGAGGAAATACGCCGGGCCGTAAAAGGAGACCAGGGCTCATGGTGGGGCTGCAGCACCCTCGGCTCCCTCTGCCCCACATCTGAGCCCCAACCCCGGCAGGGCCCCAGCACCCATTGGACAGGGCTTGGAGCAATGTGCTCTAGTGGAAGGTGTCCCTGTCTGTGGCAGGGGGTTGGAGCTGGAGGAGCTTTCAGGTCCCTTCCAACCCAAACCAGGCTGGGGTTCTATGACATGACCAAACACCACAGAAATGCCCAGCATGACCCATGGGACTGGAACCCGCAGGAAGGACTCAAAGATGCGGCATGGGGAAGGTCCCTTCTCCAGGATGAGCTCAGGGAAGACACTGACATGTCCTGGCAGGAACCTGCATGCCCACAGTGATGGAGGCGTCAACTCTACACATGGGTAGGGGGAGGCAGTGGGGTGTGGGAGCCCCGGGAGCAGGAGGACAGACCCAGAACAGGACACACAGGCACGGAGCCGGTGGGGTGGGTAGGAGCGTCCCTTGCGGCTCCAGCCCTGCTGTCAGCCCCAGGCTGTGCTCCCATGGGACATGCTCACCCAGCCCTGGCACCCATCCTGGGGATGGGGGGATCCCCCTGAGCACCCCCAGTGCAGCCCCGTCCCCAGGTGGCTGGAGGACAAGCAGCCTCAGCCCGTGCCTCCGCGATGCCGTAACTTCCCCCGGCGGGGAGGAGCCGAATCCCACCCGCTCCTGGGACATGGAGCAGGGCGGAAACAAGCCCAAGTCCCATCCCCTGCCCCATCCCCATTCCCTGCCTCAGCCCCAGCCCCCGCGCTCAGTGCCCCCCGCTCACCCCTGGTTGAGGTCGTTCTCAGTGTTGTCCAGCCCAGCCACTGCGTTGCCCTCCCGGCACTGCGTGAAGATGTCGTCCATCGCGGCTCTCACTGTGGGGACACAGGAATGTGGGGACACGGGGCACACACCGGGCTCACTGCACCCCTGTCCCGCTCACAGCCCCAGGACCTGGACACAGTCTCCCCTCAGCTGCGTCATCCCCCTGGGCAGGAGCCTCATGCTCCCTCCTCGGCAGCCCTGTGGAAAACCGTGGGAGAGCTGGATGCCGGGACAGAGCCGCAGCCGCCGGGGGAGCC